GGATCCGTGTATCCAAATGTATTTTTTGTATCTAGTGACCCCATTCCAATATAGTTTATTAGTTATTCTGCATTAAAAATAATGAGACGTAATAAAATAAATTTTAACTGCGCGCTTTAGCTGATTAGCCGGCTTTACAAATTAAGTGCGACACTCGGCAGCATGTTCCTATCAGACGCGTCAGTCACTTACTCACTAACTAACTTTGTGGCTCTAACTAACTAAATGGCCAACTAGGCGAGTGAGTGAGCTGACCATATGCGATCACGGACATATATACACATATCTTATCTAACGAATCGTTTAGCAAGTCTAACCCGTTTCTGAGGCGTGTGACTTGGCCGAACTGGCGAACTATGAATGAAAGCGGTTGACTGCGATCGAAATTAGTATGAGACGGGGGGCGAGCTGGGGAGCGGAGCTATGCTAATCGCTGGGATTATAATTAATTAATTAGCCAGCCGGCAGCGATCTCACTGCCCATTTCTCTGTCTTCATGGGCGGACATGCGCATCTCTTCAGACGAGTTTGTTGCCAGAGTCTTTCGTTCGCTTTTACGTGGGGGCTTAATGCTTTCAGCGAAGCGTCAGAAATTTAATCAAAAATTTCATAAACGCTCGGCGGTCAAGCTGCACATTTAATGACAATAATTTGCGTAATGGATTTTCATGTTCTCGTAATTGAATTTATTTTAATTTAAACTAAATTGCGCTACGCGTTACACGAATTGGGATCGGAGCCTTGGAATATATAATTTTATGCGCTCACGCGGCCCCTCCACTAATTGATTATAATTCTGTCAGTCGCCACCGTTGCCTGGCTGCAGGTTCAGATGGATCTGGTCCCCTGTTTTCGGGCCTCCGGACACTCGGAACGGCCGTCCTTCTGCTTCATATTTCGCGCATTATTTCGCGCTCGTTAGCTGGCTAGGGGCTACAGCTACAACTCCATCCTATCGCCATCCCATCGTCGTCGCCCTGACCATCAGCATAACCAACTCCATCACCAGCTTTAATGCCCATCATCATCAACAGCATCATGGTGCTGCTACATCGACCACTCACAGCTAGAGGTGGGTCAAAATTAAAAACGAAAACCCACCGCAGTAAAGGAGTTTGTGGGAGACAGCAGCGGCCTATTTGACTTGTTTAGGAATAAAAAAAACCGCACGAAAATAAAACCACTTTTGGCACATGTCGTTTTCCGATTTTCTTCCTGAAATATACGTTTTTTGGTCGAAAGAAAAAAATAATGGTCCAAAAGTGGAATGGCATACCTCGTTGAACTCGCCACAAAATTTCCAACCGAGTGGCAGTTAAGGCTGGAAAATTTAATTTTTATCCATTTTCCGCGAGTTTTAATGATGTAACCCCTTAAAAACACATTTTGGCTATCAGTTGCACAAAACACAAAACAGCTGAAGACCGCACAATAAAAAAACAATTTTTGTCCAAAAGCCCTTTTTCTAATTTGATGCCTTAACTTGACTTACTTACAGCTAAAAAAAGGATAACAAAATGTAGCCATTTTTGCCACATGTTCTCTTCTGATTTTATGATATCGATTCTTGGGACATGTTTTTTGCAGACCATTGGTTTAGGGAAATAAAAGTTTCCCCGAAGGAATCACGCACTCCTCTCTACCTCAAACACTCAGTACCCGGCAGGTGTTTTCGAATCAATACGGGGATCGATTCGCCTCGTCGTAGCCTGTTAAGAAATACTCATCGCCTGGCACTCTGAGGTGGAGAGCAACCCAAGGAAACCGGAGCTCGGTAAGTGTGTGCTTCAAAATTGTTTGATGAATTTTATAATAGTGGGACATTATGTTTGCTTCCGCTCGCTGTTGCCACAATTTACTTTTTATGAATGTCAATGGTTTTTTAATTAATTACAGGCCATTTTCGGGCTGCCCCCTTTCGATACTTTACGAGCCAGTCTGGTTTTTATATGCAAAATCTTAACATGCTTTGGTTACTCGCATAAATCTGAAATTTATCTTTGGCCATTAAAGAAGCCCAGCTCGATTCGATTCAATGCGATGTGATCGTTTAATTTTTATTTTAAAAGCCATGAAAATAATTGCCAAATTAAATGCAAGTCCCTAATCTCGTCAAAGCTGCGCGTTATAAAATTAATGTTTTTAAATTTTTGTTTACGGTTTTTAGATAAATGTACTAGTATAAACGGTATCACTTCATCCACAGTCGAAAACCTTAACATAACCCTTTGTACTCCATCGATCTGTTTCACGTCAGTTCATTAAAGGCGCTTAAATTGTATCTCAATGTGGGACTCTGGCTTGAAATCGGGCTTGGCACTCCACACGAACGCCAGAAGCGCAGAAATCCAATCAAAAAGCAGCCCAAGACGCCACCAACACAAGAACCCCAGCTTGAAATTAAATTTGGAGTCGGAGTTGGGGTAAGCCAACTCCGAAGTGGCCAAGTCGACCCCCTGTGCGAGCCATTGTCGTAAATCACACATTAAAATATTTATTTGTATTTTTACTTGTTCAGAAATTAGCTAAGAGCCCCAGTCGAGATCCGAAACCGACTCGGGGTCGGGAGTCGGACTCCGGCTTTGTTGTGCGAATGAATTTTAATTTCCTTTTTATGATATTTTAATTTATTTAAGCGTAAATCAAAACCAAAACGAGACGTGCTCTCGATCTCTTTCCTTTTTTCTTTCAGCCAGAGGCTGCACTTTTAATAAATTAGATTACCTTCGGTTTGGCACTTACAAAAATTATTTTTAAATAGGGATCCATGCATATCGATTATTTGAATATGTCGTTATATAGTTAATTATATTTAATGTAAATTAATGAAGCATATTAATAAAGATAACTATTTATTTAACAAATATTAGTTTATTTTCAGAAATCCTTAGACCCGCTTTCTGTAGTATGAAGTAGTGGGCAGTAGCACTTATTATGCTTCCTCTATTCTTCCTAAGATCCACACTGGTCTTTTCTTTGAGTGTTGCTTACCCGATTTTTGGAGCGAAGCGGCGCTTCCTCGGATCTCCGACATCCGCGCGAACTGCATAAATCTTGAAAGGCTCACCAAGCCCTACCAACAGGGAGTGGATCGGAATGGGAGTGGACTTGAGGTGGACTAACAAGCTGGAAAAACACTCTAGAGCCCTGGCATGCAGACAAAGATTGCTTTTTCACAGCTTGTGGTACGTCCGGCAGTTTATTAATTTGACGTTTCCAGTTGCAGGCCAGAGATGGTCCAGAGATGATCTCGGCCAGAAACAGTCAGAGCAGTTAACGGTGCAACAATTTGTATACATTTTTAGCCCCTGAGAGTACTCCCTTTTGTGAGCGGTGCGAAGTCGGGGTCCCACAACAATTAGTGCACGAATGGGACCTGAAATTCGGTTCCATCTAATTAGGCCGACCCTTACAGAGTTTATTAAAGATGTCTGGATGCTAAAAAAAGCTCAAAAGCTCAGAGCTGTAAGTGTAAGTTTTCCAAAAGTCCGGCAGATGGCGGCAGCGCTGTCTTTCCTCTTATACGCTGTAAACTATGCTGTTTTAAGGGGTTTTCATGCATGTTGCAAGTCCTTAACAGGATCCAGCTCAACTCCTCATTACTATTTATTATTTCAAATATTTAATTTTACTGGGAATGTACAGTCCTTGAAATGTAGCAGAATTTAACTTAAGGTGTCAAAACAAATCTTCTTCCCACTTACTGTAAGTACGCAAGGCGCGCACAAGCCACTTTTAACTATTGTTGCACTGTTACTTTACCTCATCGAACATTTCAATAGAAGCTGTATTCCCCAGCAAACCTCCCTTAACTCAATATTTATATCTTAACAGTTCTGGAAATATAACCTTTTATAACTTTTGTTGCACTGTTACTTTACCTCATCGAACATTTCAATAGAAGCTGTTTTCCCCAGCAAACCTCCCTTAACTCAATATGTATATCTTAACAGTTCTGGTAATAGAACCACTTTTAACTTTTGTTGCACTGTTACTTTACCTCATCAAACATTTCAATAGAAGCTGTTTTCCCCAGCAAACCACCACCTTAACCAATATGTGTAACTTAACAGTTCTGGTAATAGAACCTTTTATAACTTTTGTTGCACTGTTACTTTACCTCATCGAACATTTCAATAGAAGCTGTTTTCCCCAGCAAACAACCACCTTAACCAATATGTGTACCTTAACAGTTCTGGTAATAGAACCACTTCTTGTTGGAAGCCCTAACATAGCGACTGGAAGTGTTCATTTATTCGAGGGGTAGCCAGTGGAGTGAACCCACAACAGAAGTCTGTTGACCAAAAGAGCTTTACAGAGCTCTACACATGGGTAATAACATTTGGCAAGGATTTAAGAAGGACTTCCTGTTGTTGACAGTTTGCTGTTGGACGGAAGACAGGGGATAAGTTAATGTACAATCTCTGTTCGCTTTAAAAGCATATGAGGCGATGTTGTCTTTATGCCTGAACAGAGTCGCCCGCACAGACTATGCCACCCAACAATTGCTGGCGGTTACACGCCTTGAGTTGAGGGGGAAAGGAATTTGCATAAAGCAGCCTTGTCGGGGATATGGAGGAGTCCCCGTCGGAGTCGGATGGCGATGGCGATGGCGATGACGATGTCGCCAACTTGTTAGCGGACGCTGGCATTTTTACTTCATATGCAGAGATAATGCGCCGCCCATTGCCACCCAATGGCCACGTCCTTGCAATCCCCCTTGCACCCCTTCATTCACCCAGCCACATGTCAGTGGCAGCCTCCATGCTCCGTGCTCCATATTCCCTCTTCTTGCTTCGTATTCTGCATAGCGTGCAATGTCATGGCTGCGTGCGTGGCTAAGAGAGCACAAAAGTCGCCCGGAAAGGGGAGCCAGTCTGTGTCCGCTCCCTTGGGAGATGATATGGAAAGCCGGAGGAGAGGGGTTGTTTTGTGATTAGTGTTTCAGACTTGGCTTCAGCGATACTCACAAATGCCAATTATAACATATTTTCCTTAGCTTACATGGACACCAAAATATACATCTTTATTTGCGGTAAAATATATGAATTATCAATAGCCGTGTGTGCTTTTCACTGGTCCTAGAAGTTTTATCAGCCGGCTATTGTGGTCGTTGTTAAATCTATTGAACATCTTTCAGTGCTCGCTATCCGTGTGCTTCTGCTCGTCTAATTGCTCCGATGTCGCTTGACCCGATGTCGGTTGACCCGATTCCTGACCTCCGGTATTTTCCTCCTCAACCTTATTTTGCGGGGTAGCTTTTATGTCCAATATATCATCCTGATTTTGGTATTCGGTAGAAGAATTTGAGGTCTGATTGGAAGTTTCTGTACTCTTGTTTTCAGACTCCACTGACTCAGCTTCCAGAGCTTTTCCTGGAAACGGCAGTGCCCTTAGTCTCTGCACCATATCCTCAAGGGTTTCGGGGGCTTCCTTCTGGACAGCTTCCCTTCCAGAAGATCGCTTCTTGGCCGCATCATCCTGGCGAGTGGCAGCACACAACTGGGATTGTGGCCTGCTCCTCATCGCCGTGGTCTTGGGAATGGCTCCCGTGGATTGTAGTTTTAGTGCTAACTGACTAGCAGTGGTGGTGACTGTTACGGAACAAGCTGCTCCCTCGCCTTCCTCCTCGGAATGGCCGACAATCCTAGTGCTGGCTTTGGAGCTGGTGGCTTCTTCGGACGGCACAGTTTGTTCCAGCAGTTCTGCTTCCTGACGCCGAGTAGCTTCTCTTTCCGCAATCCTGTTGATCATGGCTGTGCCCCTTTCGGATGTAGAGCTCAAACGGGCAATCAGTTCGTTTCCTTGGAGCTCCAGAAGACGGAGACGTTCGGCCCTATTAGCCGATACCCTTTCAATGTCCTCCAATCGTTGCTCTAAAGTGTGCGACACGCTAACAGAGCTTTGAGCCTGATCCCGCTGAGGATTTGGGCCGTACTGTTCATGCAGCGTATCCAACTTGGTAGCTAAGTTTTCACCGCGCTCAGCATTTCTAGAGAGCTGTGATATTAGCTGACGACTTTCATGCTCCATACGCTGAATCCTCGCTGCCCTTCTGGATGTGTACTCCTCTTCCTCAGCGGTGAGAGGAGATGTAGCTGGAGGGGATTCACTTTTGGGTGCCGGCATTGCTTCCTCCTCTGTGTTGCTTTCGAAGCTCGGCTCTCTGCTTGGTGCTCTTCTAATCCTGTCCAGAGATTTTTTAAGGTAGTGGCCTCGATCTGCAGTGCGCCTAATCCTTGACATCAGTTGGCGCGACTCCTCCTCCAGGCGCCCCAACCGCTCCGATCGTTTCCTTGTGTACTCCTCCTCCCGCGGTGTAAGGCTTCCGGTGGCCGGTGCTGAACTGGCCCTGGTCATTCGCTCTATGCGCTTCCTGTTAATGAACTCCTCCAGAGGCACGGCATGCTGGGCGGGAGCAATGTCATCCTGGAACTGGCACAACTGAATCTCAAGGCGCTCCCGATTTCCAGAGGTTTCTAAGACTTGCTGAATAAGGTTTTTACACTGCTCCTCAAGCTTCTGGATGCGACTGGCTGTGCCTGCCGTTTCACTTGATCCTCCCACACTTCTTTGCCTGCTTCTGGAGCTGTGTAGCGACTTGGGAAGGACACCATGGGCTCCTTCCTCCTCAGGCTCATGCTCCCCAACTTCTGCTCCTTCCTCGCCTAAAGGATACGCACCTTCTTCCCTCCAGCCGCAAGTAGGTGGAGCACTGTTCCAGCGAAGAACGATATTATCAGCCTCAACTTCCTCGCCCTGGAAACCCTGACGCCCAGGAGACGTGCTTTGCATCCGCTTTATTTTACGCGTATGTTCGAATTGATCCCTAAGAAGCTTCCGGCGACAAGTGACCGAGGAAGTGGAGACTTCTACAGGATCCACGGTACTCAGATCCCGCTCCTCATCCGATTGGGGACCCGAATCGCTGTAACCGCTCTCTGCCGAGTGATTTGCATCCTCCAATTTTCTCCTGGCGAATTCCCTTCGCCACTCGTCACACTGCTCCTGGCTCTCGTCGTTCTTGGCCCTGGCCAAGGCCCACTTCCGGCGGCAGTACTCCAGCTCATCCTTGAGCTCGCTCAAGAGACGCCTCTTCTGCTGCAACTGATAGCGCAGGATCTGCTCCTGTGTGTGGAGCTGGCGATGCTGGCGCTGCATCTTGCCCACTAGGTGCCAGGTTTTGGTTAGCTCCAAGCTCACACCGCTCAACCGCTTCTCCTGTTGGTTGAGGCGGTAGTCCAGATGGCTGTTAAGGGTTTTTAGTCGGTTTGTCTCCTTCACCAGCGACTTCTTCTCCAGAATAAGGTCCTGAAATAAAAAGGCATTGGTTTTTTGACGGTACTTAAGCAGGGGCTTGGCCTGAAGTGAAAACTTCTAAAGTGCTCTATCGGGAGATGGTCAAACTTTTCAATCAATTAGAGTTTAAGCCAAGATAACAATGGTCGCATAAAATGAACAAAAAGGGAGATACCCTAATAGATGTGTGTTTTTCTACTCTTGAAGTTAACTAGTTTTAGTAGTAGTTTTTACTAAAATGGGGAAAATTTTAAAAACTTTTTGCTTGTTTCAATGTGGCTTGTCCATAGATGAATGTGAATAAATATCCTTAACGATGCCGTAGCACTTTGAGTACGTAAACGAAATATACTCCTGAATTAATATTATCCCTACCATTAAAAGAATACCTGAACAGAACCAGAACGCAGTGGAAATAGCCGCTATTCAAGGGTAGCTAAGTGCAACATGTTCTGTACCAACGGCAACTGACCGATAAATTCAATTATGTGCACGACAATGGACCCGACTGCCAAGGCCGTGCCCCAAGGACCCACCCACTTCGCCGATGCTCTCCCACTTCCCTTCTACATCGACGCTCGGCAGGATGTCAGCAATAATGAAGCTGCTCGTGCTCGGCCGCTCGCTCGGCACTAGACTAAATAAAGCGCTTAAGTGAATAATGCAAAACTTTGCAACAGCCACAGACGGAACTCCATGAGGGGGAGTCTCGGAGGCGGATGGTTGCGACTGCGGCGGGCTGCACTTCATCAGCAAACCGGATACGACAACTAACAAGCCCGATTGTCCGCAGCACTTGAAAGAAGGAAGGAACCGACGGTTGTTTTGTTTTTTGCAGTGCAGTAACTGAAACTTGGCAGCTTGGGCTCACCTTTAGTTTGATGTAGGTTTTGCTGACGCTAAGCTCCGCTGGCTTGCGGTGGGACTCGCCTTCGTCCTTGCCAGAAGCGTTGGATGCGGATGAGGACGGAATGGCGGCACTAGAGGATGGCAGCTCCTCCAACTGCACGCGCTCGATTTTGTGGTGGCTCAAGAGCTCCATCAACACTTTCCAAACTTTTGGCAAGTTGCCAATAATTTCTTGGGCCGAGGCAACTTTTCCCATAATTTCGGGCTCATGGCTTTTTAACGAAGCCGCAGTGGCATCCACACCCGAGCTCGAGCCCGAACCCTTCCGGCATTTTTCGTCTGCTCCTCCCGGTTGACAGCCGTCCGTGGTGTCTTCGGTTGTGGCAGTGGGTGTGGGTGTGGGTGTGGCGCTGCGACTTCTATCTGATTCCTCGGCGGAATCCCCATGGCCAGTAGCTTGCTCCACGAGGTCGAAGAGCAACTTGGGCAGAGTGGCTCCGTCGCTGCAGTTTCCCTCCGCTTGGGTCATTTGGTTGAGGAGATGGCGGTTCTCCTCCAGCATTCGATTGACGCGATCGATGTCCATGCTGCTCTTGCCATTGAAGCCCATAATTAGCTGGCTGAAGAGCTGAAAAAGGATATGGCTGTTACTTGAAAATGGCTTCTATATAAGTTCCACTCACCATGTTAACTGCACCCACTTGCTCACTGAGCAGACGCTTCTCAAACTTGTGCTCGCTGCACTCCTCCCGGAGCTTCGCCAGCTCCTCATTGGCCATCTCCACCTCTTTGAGCAGGCTGTGATTGCGGTCCTCCAAGCTCTTATTTCTAGTACAGGAAGAAAGTTCAGTAGACAGTAAAATGGATAGAAATGGGCTTACTTCTCCTGCTCGGCAGTGAGTTCATCTTTCTTGATCGAGATTAGGCGCTGGAGATTCTCGTACTCCGCAGCAGCCACCCTCTGTCGCTCTTCATAAAGTTGCCTTAACTGGCGGATATTCACCAGTTGGCGCTCGTACTCCTGGCGAAGATTATTCGACATAATCTTCATTTCGCGCTCACTAAACGAGTTTTCGATTTCCGTCAGCTTCATTTTGAGCTAGTGAAAACAATTTGTTGAATATTGAACTCGATTTCTGGATGACCTGGATACTAGCTCACCTGAGCACACTGCTCCTCCTTGACACTCAGCATCTGTTTGCAGCAGGAGATGACCTCTTTCAGGGTTCCTACCTGCCGGTGAACCACTTCCACTTCGCCACGCAGTGACAAATTCTCGGCCTGGGCTTGCTGCAAGGCCAGCTGGGCATTGGCCAGTTCGATATTGGCATGGCGACTCCTGGAACTGGGATTCTCATCATCTGGATCTGAATCAGGTTTACTGGGGGTATCCGAGTCGTCGCGCTGAGTATCGGCCTGACCCTCTCCAACCAAATCTTTTCTAAGACGTAAAGTTTCAGACTTTTCTTTGGCCAATTGCTCCTTGAGACTAGCAATCTCATCCCTCAGGCCCTGCACAGCATTTTGGCGAGCCTCTTTTTTCTGACGAAGCTCTTCTCTGAACTCCTCGAGCGTCTGTTCTTTTTGAGGAGACCCATCTCGTTTGTCCTCCATTTCAATTGCGACTTGGCTTTCACGATTTTTCCTTCTATTATCGGGAGGCACCTCCTCAGCTTCTTTTTGGGCTGTAGCTCGGGGGGCCTGTTCCAGAATCAAATCCTCGTGCTCGATGTTGTTCCACCAGGGCTCGTCATCAGTGGACTGCTGCAGCTGCATCTGCGTATCTTCCGCAGACTGTGTGGACTCGGCATTTCCCATGTTCCCCAACAGAACAAAGACGAACGAGCTGTTTATGCGGTTGTGATGATCAGTTTACCAATGCAGATTCGGCTGATACAAAGGGGATGATGCGCCTGGCGAGCGTTAAATTTACGATTCACTTTAATGCGACTTTTCTTCTAGAGAAGAACTCTTTGTCGGCACAAAGAAAACCCAAAGATCCAACGATCCACCGATCAACAGATATGGCACCAATACAAACAGGTACAAGCAATACCAGCAAAATAGGTGTCTATATTTGTGTGGGACGATCACTCACGAGTTTGCAGATTTCGCAATTATCTATTGACTTTCACTTTCTAGCCAAGGAGGTTCGAGAAAAAATAATGGCCCAATTTCCCTTATAATTCTTCACTTGCACATTGAACTTCGGAAGACACGGAAAAAAAGAAACGTAACCAAAGTAAATATCTAGTATACATATGATAAAGTTTTATATGTATTCGTGACGTTGGAAAATTTTTGGGTTCTAATTTCTATCCGTTCGACGGTCGAACGCAACTTTTCGGTTGGCCAGCTCGGGGAAAACTGAGAAAACATCGAATAGATTCAGCTATTTTTAACCCACTACGATCTCTCCTGATTTCACGCGAATTCGGCTCCTCTCCGGCACTCCTCACATAAAATGCTTTGTTTTCGAGCATTAGAGATTCTTTTTATGCTGAGGGTCTGGCAACATGTATGAGAGGCTTCTCAGGACTCTTCCCTTCATATTCTTGATGGTTCTTCTTAGTTTTATGCACATTTTAATTAGAAGAACGTGTCACATGAATCAGTCTAAAATTATACACAGCGTCATCTTAATTATGACTAAGGGGTAAATGAAAACAAACTCTTGCCACATCGCCTGTCGAGAAATGAAGATCAAGACCAGTTGTCAAGAGCTGCCAGAGATAGATCCGCAACACTTACCAGGTGAATGATCTGCACTGTTTTGAGGACGATGTATCCTAACATTAGCAACTTTAACTAGAGGATCGTACGTAAGTATTAAATGTACACAAATGCATTTGAATTGTTCTCAGTCCTCAGTATTAAGGTGAATTACTTCACATTCCTATTCCTATCACTTCCCGATTCATTCACTTTCACAAACTGTTCTTAACGCAACCCAGTCTGACCCACATCCTTTGACCATTATCACTTCCCTAAAGAGAATAAATCTCTGGACCTTTATTAACCAATTTGTGATGGTGGGTAGAGTGCGCGGGATCCCGAACCCAATGGAAATCTTTCGCGCGAAAGTTTCAAATGAAAATCCATTTGCTAGCTAATTTTTTTACTGGCCACGCCAACTTCCTGTTTTTTTCCGCCAGTGCGCGCATTTGAAAAGTGGGAGACGCGCTGCAATGAATCCAAGCCAAGGGCGGTGAAGGTTTTTCCGGGAAAGGAGGATGACAGGATGGCGCACACATTTGGCACAGTGTCGCCAGGCTTGAAAATGAAAATCAACAATGCAATTTGCCATGGTGCCCCGCTCTGCCTCTTATTTCTGGGTTTCTCTGTTGTTTGTAGCGACTAAAAGGGGAAAAAATACTGCTAAAAACTTGAAGCGCCAGCAAAAGTTGTGCCCAGGAACGCCCACAACTTTCACAGAGATTGCACACAGGCAAATGTGCAGCGAAAGTTGCAAGTAGCAAGGATTCGAGACCAGGCAGCAAGGACGCTCTGCACAAAATAAGTTTCCGGAAAATCCATTGTGTTCATTATAATAGAATAGTAAACTGGAGTGACTGGGTTCGGATTGGTGTTCTCAACCTTTTACTTTAGCCCCTGGACCTTCTCAAATTTATGTTGATGTGCTTGATGTTTCGAGAACCAGTCAAACTTGCCACGTTAAAAAAATGTTTTTTCAATTCCAATAAAATCTGGCTTTAACTGAAATTAACACTTACTTTGGGCAAAATATAATATTATGAATTGTCGTATTCTCGCAGTCCATTCATAGACCTTCATCAGCCAGTCAGTGGAGTTTTAGCTCAAGTATTAATCAAACCCGGGGCTAAGAAGCTTGGGGAGGGTACTTCAGCTTAATATGAATGTATGAATGTGGGTCACAACAATGCAACAACTTCATTAGCAAGAGCAACACGTTGGCACATCCTTGCATCCGGTTGCAAGTCTCATTTCCGCAGGAGTTGTAGGAGTTTCCTACTACCGGATATCTTTGCAAGTGCTAAATGGATGTTGGCATATTTGCAAAGTATGCCAAACGTAGCAAATAAACTGTATTTACCTTCCTACGACTTGGGTACACTTGAAAATTGGGTTATCAGGCTTATCAGGCGCGCACATATCAGCTGTTCTTTGCATTAGGTTGGCAGCCCTGTTATTTAAAGGTGAGCTGAGTTCGATTCGGAACCAAACAGAAATTCACCGGCATAAAAGTTAATTTTTGTGTGTTCAGTTAAATCTAAATACTAATTTTATTGATGTTTTTTATTAATAATAAAATACTCATATCTAATAATATACTCATATTTATTCATTCCTATGATTTCCCAAACATAAAATACGAACTAGTTCCTTGCAACTGGCTCACCACTGACTGGTTCGCTTTCAAATCGGTTCGTTGCCAAACAACACGTGCGAAGGAAGGCATTCAAGTTTATAGTTATTTTTGGTTGGCATTCTAAAAGAAAACTCCCACAAAATGCTGGAGGAGATGCAACAAATGAAGACCATTCCAGTGCTGACCAATTCCCGGCCGGAGTTCAAGCAGATACCCAAAAAACTCAGCAGGGTAAATATCAATTTTGTACCTGCCGTGCGGTTTCGTGCTAATACATTTCTGTCTATGGCTAGCATCTGGCCAATTTGGGAGCTCCACATGTGGATTCCTTTGACGAGATGTTGACCTTGGGACTGGATAACACGGCCAAACACATGATCCCTATCCACTGGCTGAGTCCTGCCGGCGAAAAGATCTCAATGAAAGTGGAATCCATATGGATATCAAAGCCGAAGGTGCCGCAAGATGTGATTGATGTGCGCACGCGAGAGATTTACCCCACGGACTCCAGGCAGCTCCATATCTCCTACTCGGGAATGTGCTCGGTCCGATTGGGGTGGACGGTCAATGGAGTGGAAAAGTCTGCGATAAACATGGACCTGGGGGAAGTGCCCATCATGTTGCGCTCCAAAGCCTGCAATCTGGGACAAGCTTCTCCGGAAGAAATGGTAAAGCATGGAGAGCACGACAGCGAGTGGGGTGGAATCTTTGTGATCCGAGGAAATGAGAAGATTGTACGTATGTTGATCATGACCCGGAGGAACCATCCCATCTGTGTTAAACGTTCTTCCTGGAAGGATCGTGGACAGAATTTCAGCGATCTGGGTATGTTGGTGCAAACAGTCCGTGAGGACGAGTCATCCCTGAGCAATGTGGTACATTATTTGAACAATGGAACTGCAAAGTTTATGTTTTCGCACGTCAAGAGATTATCTTACGTACCAGTTTGCCTGATCCTCAAGTGCCTGATGGATTATACAGATGAAGAGATATACAACAGATTGGTACAGGGCTACGAGTCCGACCAGTATTATGTATCCTGCGTGCAAAGCATGTTGAGGGAAGTTCAAAATGAAAACGTCTATACGCACGCCCAGTGCAAGAGCTTCATTGGCAATCTGTTCCGTGCCCGCTTCCCAGAAGTTCCGGAATGGCAACCGGATGAGGACGTCACTGACTTCATCCTTAGGGAGCGAGTAATGATTCACCTGGATACCAATGAGGATAAGTTCCAGTTGATTGTGTTCATGATCCAGAAACTTTTCCAATGTGCACAGGGCAAATACAAAGTGGAAAACGTCGACTCAGCGATGATGCAGGAAGTGCTTTTGCCAGGCCATCTCTATCAGAAATACCTAGGTGAGCGAGTCGAATCCTGGGTCTTGCAAGTCCGACGTTGCCTTCAAAAGAAACTGACTTCCCCTGATGGCCTACTAACCAGTGCCGTGATGACGCAGTGCATGCGTCAAGCGGGAGGAGTTGGTCGGTCCATAGAGTCATTTTTAGCCACTGGAAATATCGCCAGTCGCACTGGTCTGGGATTAATGCAAAATAGCGGACTAGTTATTATGGCAGAGAACATTAACAGAATGCGATACATGTCTCACTTCCGCGCCATCCACCGTGGTTCCTACTTCACAACCATGAGAACCACCGAGGCGCGGCAGCTGCTTCCGGATGCCTGGGGCTTCATTTGCCCAGTACATACTCCTGATGGCACACCCTGCGGGCTGTTAAATCATTTGACTCTAACTTGCGAGATTTCGATGCGTCCCGATCCCAAGTTGGTGAAGGTGGGTACAGCGAATTGTAGATTACATGAGATATTTTAACCAATTGATTTTATTCCAGGCCATACCCAAGCAGCTTATAGATATGGGTATGATGCCCTTGTCAAACCGCAGCTATTTGGGCGACAAACTTTACGTCGTCTTTCTAGACGGCAAGCACTTGGGTCACATTTATCAATCAGAAGCCACCAAAATAGTTGACGATCTGCGCTACGGAAAGATATTCGGCACTCTTCCCCAGATGATGGAAATCGGCTTTATACCCTTCAAGAAGAACGGTCAGTTCCCAGGACTTTACCTTGCAACGGGTCCTGCCAGGATGATGAGGCCCGTTTGGAACCTAAAATGGAATAGGGTGGAGTACATCGGAACTCTAGAACAGCTGTACATGGAAATCGCCATCGATTCAAAGGAAATGTATCCTGATTTCACCACCCATTTGGAGCTGGCGAAGACGCACTTCATGAGCAACTTGGCCAACTTGATACCCATGCCGGATTACAATCAATCACCACGTAACATGTACCAGTGCCAGATGGGAAAACAAACGATGGGAACGCCATGCCTGAATTGGCCTAAGCAAGCAGCCAACAAGTTATACCGCCTACAGACTCCAGCAACTCCTCTCTTCCGACCAGTACACTACGACAACATTCAGCTGGATGACTTCGCAATGGGCACAAATGCTATAGTAGCTGTAATTTCCTACACGGGCTATGATATGGAAGATGCTATGATCATTAACAAGGCTGCTTATGAACGAGGATTCGCCTATGGAAGTATCTACAAAACAAAGTTTTTGACGCTGGACAAGAAGAGCAGTTACTTCGCAAGGCACCCACATATGCCGGAGCTCGTAAAACATCTTGACACGGATGGTCTTCCACATCCGGGCTCCAAATTGAGCTATGGTTCGCCCCTGTACTGCTATTTTGACGGCGAGGTCGCCACTTACAAAGTTGTAAAAATGGATGAAAAGGAAGACTGCATAGTAGAGAGCATCCGGCAGTTGGGAAGCTTCGATTTGTCGCCCAAAAAAACGGTGGCCATCACACTGAGGGTTCCACGACCTGCCACTATTGGAGACAAGTTTGCATCGAGAGCTGGTCAGAAAGGCATTTGCTCACAAAAGTATCCTGCAGAGGACTTGCCATTCACGGAATCAGGTCTGATCCCTGACATTGTCTTCAATCCCCACGGCTTTCCCTCCCGCATGACAATAGCCATGATGATTGAAACGATGGCGGGAAAGGGGGCTGCAATCCACGGAAATGTTTACGATGCCACGCCTTTTCGATTCTCGGAAGAGAATACTGCGATTGACTATTTTGGCAAGATGTTGGAAGCTGGCGGTTACAACTACTACGGAACGGAGAGGCTGTATTCCGGTGTAGATGGTCGCGAGATGACTGCTGACATATTTTTTGGAGTGGTGCATTACCAGCGACTCCGGCACATGGTGTTCGACAAGTGGCAAGTGAGATCCACGGGAGCGGTGGAAGCTCGGACCCATCAGCCAATTAAGGGCAGAAAACGCGGTGGTGGCGTCAGATTCGGTGAGATGGAACGGGATGCTTTGATCTCCCACGGTGCCGCTTTCCTGCTGCAGGATCGCTTGTTCCACAACTCCGATAAGACACACACCCTTGTGTGCCACAAGTGTGGCTCCATTCTGGCGCCTCTGCAACGCATTGTTAAGCGAAACGAAACGGGAGGACTTTCTTCTCAACCAGATACGTGTCGCTTGTGTGGGGATAACAGTTCCGTATCTATGATCGAGATACCATTCTCCTTCAAGTTTCTGGTTACCGAATTGAGCTCGGTCAACATTAATGCGAGGTTTAAGTTAAATGAAATTTAAGTTAAATCTAAAATTGTTGTTAGGTCCTATGTTAACCCATGCGCTAATCGTAATAAAGTTAAATACGTAAAACACAAGTGTGCTTGCCAAGTGCTTATAATCCAGGTTATGGAAGCCTTCTAAACACCTTTAAAATGGTTTCAATTTATATTTATTTAAATACATATTTGTTTACGTTTACAGTTAAATTCCTGCACTTGCTATATGTAGTTGTGGCTTGTTTTCCTTGCTCTTGCAGTTGCTTTTGTTTTGTCTGTGTGTGTTAAATGGAATTTGTGTGGAATTTTGTAACATTTAACTATTGCACTTTGGAAATGCTTAAACTTCCAACTGACATGCACATTGGTTTATACGAAAAGATTGAGAGTTCATCGGTAATAAGTATTTGATGTCAATTTCCGTTATCGGTTTTCAGTATCAGTATCTATATAATGTATATTTTAGTTTACAATTCTTTGTTCTTTATCGGCAGCCGTCTCACAATGGATGAGAGTTATTAGCAGATTTATGGCTTGCGCATGCTGCTGCTGCTTCAGATAAGTTAATACTTGGTGCTACAAAGATCGCTTTCTGTTCAGGAAGCGGCACAACATGTAGCCCATCTCAGTTTATCTATGGTACACAAACGAAACGTAATATTACCCAGAATCAATCAAAAAATTCTGCTATAGGTATAATAATATTATGAATGCTTTGTTTCGTTTCCTCCAATAGGGAAATATTTCCTATCGTTCATAAATTTTAAGTTGCTCAACAGTGATTAATCAAGGAATTTTTGGGGATCCGTGTCTAATTATTTGTCTATTATTTAATGAGATTTCTGCTCTTGCGGCTCTCCATCGGATTTTCACAATCAAAAACATTAAACATGAATTTCGTTTAGATGCAATTGCAATAATCAATATATGTATAAATATTTAGATAACGATTTGCATACTTGTCATTTGCAGGCATCTTAATAATTTCCTTGCAAGCTTTTCTCTTTTTTTTATATTGATTTGTTTTTATTACAACGACGTATATACTAGGTATATGTATGTGTTTGTATGAATGTATGTAGATCTGTGTATAGGCATATAATATCCAATTGCTACTGCCTCGAAATGATGCAACAATATATAATTTGTCATACATATAAACATAAT